TAGAAGAGTTATTCTAATAAGTACTCATCGTCCATCCTCGTGAGATGGCCGTTCAAACTTGGTTACACTTGCTTCAGCATGACGTGGATGCTGAGGGCTCCAGGTTGTTTACAATCTTCTCTACCAGTGATCCTGGCCTGCCAGCGTTGATATCTGACGGTGACAACTAAGGTGTGAGTCGGTGACATCCAGTGCTTATTTCTTATGGACCGTCCAGCTCTGCATACCGTTCAGCGCATTTCGCGTTTTCAGTTAGGGAGTCATGAAAACCTTCAAAATATAACTCGTCGAACATACGTCTGCCTACGGTAAATTCTCTTCAGGCGTGTACATTTACATTACTATTGAAATAATGAAGTAAAATATGCCGACGAGTAGAAAGTTTTTCTGTAGCTCCGGTTGTGTGGGAGATGCTGGCTACATAAAAATAACACTTGGGTGGTGGGCACCGTAAAGTAGAAGTATATACGGTTGGCTGGCTCAGGGACACTGGACACTAGCAACTGCCGATCCGCATAAAAATCTTCCGAGCCCACAGAACCGGTTTGGGCAACCTCATTTCAGCTGCCTCTGCCGTAACAAATAGAAGGTGCTCAAACGATTTTGGGCAGATTGACGGAAGCTTGTAAATGATTCAGGAGGACTCGCTGGAATCTATCTACTGGTGTGTGTCTGCCATATGCGCAAGGGTGGGGCTGTTAATGTCCTTCATCTGAGCCTTGTCTAATCATGCTGGAAAATGCATTATGTGAGCTGACTTATTGTGCCTTAACTTCTCTTGAAGTGAGTAGGGTACAGAATACATTCATGGTAGAAGCAACTTAGAATTAATGTGAACATTGCTGAATGATAATTATCAGCGTATCAGATTACGCCTCGGGGAGCAAGACGCACTCTCCATTCGCTGTCTTGTTCACTTATCTTCTGCTGCAGTACTCTTCTGTCTTCTTGCTCATGCAGAATTCCCTTTATTAGTTTCGGTAGCATATCAAATAATATGGATAACCTCTAACTTAGTAAGGAAGTTATTCCCAGCCATTTGGCTGGCTGCACTTTTGACACAGACCCTAAACATGTCCCCAATTGTTTTGATTCATCTACGAGCCCACACGCTACTTTGTGAGAATATGTAACATACGTACCAGTCTGACTCAGGAAAATCGTGCCACGTCCATTTTATAAAATGAAAGCACAGCTGGAGACGACAGATCTAATTGAATTGCAGATGAAGTCTAAAACTGCATAAAATCATCTCAGCTGTCTGCAATTTCCGTAGGCTTTCTTCTAGGGAATTTGGCCTTGTCTGGCCTAGCGGCCAATGGAGGCAACAAAAACAGCACATATCGCTCTAGCATACGGAGTCAGTTCATCTAACTGCACCGCTGTCGTGCGGCAATTAATTGAACCACGTGCATTTTGTCCGGCGCATTATCAGAGCCAACTTGCCCTGTGTTAATGATTAGCTTTTATTTCGCCCGGTGTTAAGTAGTTACTTCGTTAGAAATTAATTTGTGGCCATTGTATATTGTTTTCATAAAAATGCTAATCCAACCGGTTTCGGTAGTTGCCGTGAATACTTAGGCTTCCCTACCAGCAATTTTGGCAGAATAATCGGTAAACATCAATGGGTGCTGGATTTGCGCTTTGACATTTTCAATGTGGTAGGTGGCGTACAATTGTATCACTGTATTGCGGTCATTAAGTCAACCGTGTGCATGCAGTCGGAGACTCATTCAGGGATAGCCGGCTTTTCGCTAAAACTGACGCTTTTCGGTTCGTTGTTATGCATGTCATTTTGCCAGCTTATAAAGTAATGTATTTATCTATTGTCAGCAGGTAAATGCACTTCCTGGCGGTTCGCTAATTACTATGAATGTTCAGGTGTATTTTCCAACAATTTCAGCACAGTAGCAGATTACCATTAAGTACAAATGAATCTGCAGCGCCACTTTGTTCGTTTCGTAGTAGGTATGAGCATGCGTTGATCTTACACTACTACTACTACTACCACTACTACTACTACTACTATTACTACTACTACTACTACTACTACTTCTACCGACGTCCAATATGGGCTAATTTGCGCGCACTCGGACATTTTTCTGAGAACATGAGTCAATTCATCTAACTGTACCGCTGCCGTGAGATTATTAAGTAAACCATGTGAATTTCGTCCGGGAAATTTTCAGAGCTACCTTACCTTTTGTTAAAAAAAGGCTTTTGTTTCGTTCGGCGTCAAGTATTTACTTCGCTAGAAATTGATGTGGAACCATTATATATTGTTATCCCAGCGGTTTTGGTAGTTGACGTATAGGGTTCAAAGAACCGATCCGTGGATTGTATGCATATTGTTAACTTTACAAGCCACTTTGGCAAATGCAAAGATATGACGATTGATGAGAAACAATTTCATTGTGTAAAAAAATCTCGCAATTATATACTTTTATTAAACCGAATTATGTCCCTCCTCTGAATATAAAATTAGATGAAGACGTAATTCTCCACCAAATAATCTAGAGAATCGACATTTTCGTGGTGCCTGTTTTCCATAAAATTAATTGGGAGATTCAGGGGCATGATATGCAATAAGTTATTTTTACAGAATGAAGATTTGCACGCAGCCGGAAGGAAGTTCATTCGATGGCCGGCGTCCTGAGATAACTGAAGTATATTAGGCGCAGACTCTACACTTACGAAGTACGATTGATCCAGTGCGGGCGACCTAAACGACACACAAATTATCGTGCCTATCCGCAATTTACGAGAAGTATCACACGTTTACAAGGAATATTTAGTCGAACCGTATCTAAAATTGTGACGAGCACTGGAATATATCAGATGTAGCAAAGGCCAAGGAACACCAAGCATGACGTTTAATATTGTAACATAAATTTGAATATCAGATGTTATGCTGGAAACTATTATAATTCCGATTGTTGTTTTTGAGCCGGTTTGTTGCTGTGGGCTGACTAGTTTTGCAAACCTACTCAATCAATCATTTCAAAAGCGAATTTCGGTTGGCATTTAATGTGTTAGCTCACCTATTGTGTTATAGAAAAAGTGATGGCTCGTCGGGAAAGTGCTGACAAATAAGCTACACGAGGAGGGACATTCCCGCTCGTAAGCGTTTGCAACCCTACCAACTCTTATGGGACATGTTGTTAAGCGGTCTCCTAGAAAGGCAGAAGTCGCAATTTATGTATGAATGCTAAACTTTATGACACATCTACGTCACAGTGATGTTTTCACCTAAATACAACAAGGTCTGACAGATGACACTGACGCCAGACAATTAAACTTTCACCATGACTTTTTCGAGATCCTCGATGCGAGGTGTTTTGAAGTCTACCCCTCATTAGGCCATTGTGTTAATCGGCTACGCTTGTCGCACGGTTTCCACGATTCGCGGTGCACATTATCCGTTTGTGTGCCAGAGTGAGTCACAGAGGTCTCCTCTCATTATACTAAGTGACATCCACTGAATTGCAGTCGGTATCTAGCCCATCATATACGCGGAAGTTGCTGTGGCTATGATGTTTCTAGCCGGCGTTTTATGCGCGATGTAAATGACGTAGTACTAGAACATCGTGATTCAATGCTCTGAAATCTGTCACTGAGAGAAACATTTAATTTTAAAGAACCCAACGTATTTAATATAGCATGTTGTCTATTGAGTGGAAATCAATTATCAACATCAGCCGCATTAATCTATGACCATTAATGTAAAAGTCTATAATTTTCAGTTAAAATAAATAGGAACTCGGTGTTTCACGTTATTATCACAGTTCGACCCTGCAAATGTTTGACAAAGAACAAAAGTGTCGCTACATATGTATGTGTTACAAGGCTAGAGTTCGTCCACCAATCTTAAATAGAGGTGCGCGTTGTTGGAAAAAGTGCACCTTGTTTCACATAGTATTGCCCTGTCGTGTGTAGTGTTTGACGCTATCGAGTGTTTGCAACACAAGTGCTTGACGGGATTCATGTTTACAGACGACACCATTAATTTTATGTCAAAACGGAAACATTTATTCATCGACAGCTAACCGCACTATTAAGCCTTTAGAAATTTTTGTCCGCAAGAAGGTACAAATAGTTCTTCCCTGCAAAAGGATTGGCAAGTCATTGATTATTTTCCGCACGCCTTGAAAAGCGCTGCCCTAAATCTGTCCCAAACGGATCATATTAAAATTTCACTCAAATTCCACTTTATCGAAAGTGAACATGAATGCACACACGTTCTTCACGTACAAACTACGATTGATCGAGTGCAGGCGACCTAAACGACAAAAATATCGTGTTCATTTGCAATTAAAGAGAAGTGTCACACTTCCAAAGGGGAAATTTAGTCGAGCCCTATCTAAAATTGTGGCAAGCACTGGAAGATATCAGGTGTAGCGAAGAAAAGGCCAAGCAAAACCAAGAATGGCGTATAATACTGTAACATGAACTGGATTGTCAGCTAATATGCTGGAACTTCTTCTTATTCCTATCGTTGTTTCTTGGGCCGGAGTGTTGGTCTCCCACACGGTTTACCTAAGTATCCCCGCAAGCACTCCATTGCGTTTACAGAGCAAGCCCGCAAATTCCAACACATTCGTCACCAATATGCGACCAGTTTCTGCTCATGTACTCATGCTGTTTAATATACACAGATGGTGATTATTAGAACATATGCGCAGATTCGATTTCTGCACAGGTGTCTCGACAACAATTTGCTTCCGAAGTGCGTTTCATACAAACCTCCGGTCAACACAGAGCTGGCGAGACGCGCAGTACTTCAGCACGGCCGACGAATGATCCAAGTGCTCCTTCAAGACTGTCACTCACGGATTCGCAAATACCGTCAGAGGATTGACCACGAGAAAGCAAGGTGCTGCGAGTTCATCGGAGAGGACGGCATAAAACTGCTTCAGCAGAGGCTGGCCGAACGAACCCGCGAACATAAAGCAACGCGCGCAGCAGCCCTAGAGAGCAAATTTCGTAAGCTGCCTGCTCCAATGTCATCCAAGAACGACAAACTGGTGCACAACTTGTCGTCAAAGGAGCTGACGGAGGAACAAATGCAGGTTTTGCGGCATGAGGCCTCATTCAACACAGCCGATGCCAAACCTGCCAACATAATTGCAGCAGTGGAATCAATCCTCAGCCAGACGGGAGCGACTGACGAAACGAAGAACCTCATTCGACACCAAGTGTCCTCCCTCCTCATTGCTCACAGGCAGCGCAACGTGCTGTCCAAGGTCGAGCGTGATGCACTTAAAAAAACTCAGGGCCGACAACGACCTAGTTATCGTGCCTGCGGACAAGGGGCGTTCAACAGTCGTATTGGACAGGACAGACTACAATCAAAAAGCGAAAAGCTTGTTGGAGGATCGTCAGTCCTATGTCCCCATGCGAATCAACCCCATAAAAACGTCGACACGCGAGATAAATGTGACGCTGTTGGCAATGGACTATTCAGGTGCAATATCGCCAATCGACCGACGCATGGTGAGAGCACAAGAAACGGCCCTAGCCCTATTCTACGGTCTCCCAAAAGTGTACAAAGAGGGCGCTCCTCTCCGGCATATCGTATCATTAAAGGGCACTCCAACCTAAGTGGCTGTTCCAACGTCTCAAGTTTCTGACCTCCGACTCGAACACTACAGTCAGCTTGTCAACGCAATTCTTGGAGAAACTTAAAGGAGTAAGTCTCCTGCCAAGCGATATCATGGTTTCCTTTGATGTCACGTCCCTTTTTACTTCTATCCCGCAGGACCTGGCAGTCGAGACAATCGAACTACTCCTACGAGAGAAGTACGACGAAACGGAGAATCGCCTCGGACACGCCCAAATCATCCAGCTCCTGAAGATCTGTCTCAAGACGTACTTTACATTCAACGGAACAATCTACGAGCAGGTGAAGGGAACGCCAATGGGTTCGCCGATTTCGGGACTCATAGCCGAGGCGGTCCTACAACGGCTGGCGTCGCTGGTTTTCCGACACCACAGACCGAAATTTTGTGCTCGATATGTGGATGACACCTTTGTCGTCATCGAACGATATGAGGTGCTGACGTTCAAAGAACCACTCAACGCCGTCTTCCCGGACATTCAATTTACGATGGAGGAGGAGGAAAACAATCAGCTGGCCTTCCTGGATGACCTCGTCTGCCGCAAACATTGTGGTGGCCTAAAAACCAAAGTGTTCAGGAAAGCGACAAATACGACGCAAATACTGAACTTCAATAGAAACCACCCGATCAGTCACAAACGCGTTGAGACGCACTGCAGTGAAATGGAAGACAAGGTTGCTGAATTACAATATCTTCGACGGGTAATGAGAGCCAATGGCTACCCGCGCAACTTTGTTAACCAGTGCTTACAAAAAGGACACCAGAGACCAAATCCAACTGTTCCCAAATTTTGACGGGCTCCTTCGTACGTGAATAACGTCTCGGAAGCCGTCAGTCGTCTTCTCACTCCACTTGGAGTTGGGGTTGCACACAGGCCGGAAGCAACCATTAGAAACCAAATTATGTGGCAAAAAGACCCGCTGCCACGGCAGGACACGTACGGAGTCGTGTACCGGATCTGGTGTAGTTGCGGACAAAGCAATTATGTCGGAGAAACTGGGAGATTACTCCGTACGCGACTTGCCGAGCACGCAGCAGCAGTAAGGCGGGGAGACGCTAACTCTCAGTTGACGACACACTCGACGGGACCCGGCCATATTTTCAAATTTCAAGAGACCGAAATCCTCGCAAGTGGTGACAACTGCGTGAGCCGCGAGCTGCTCGAGTCATGGTTCTCATGCCCGCAATCCATCAACAAGCACAATGATCTCCCGGTACCCTTTACCGTACTGCGATTTTCCCTGGACAGAAGAATCAGTCACGTAGGGAGGGCGCGGGCGAGCAATCATCACGGTGACAGTGAGCCAGTTTGCCGAACAATCGTCCCACCTGCACCCAGTACGGATGACGAAATAGCGACAATTAACGACTCGGAATCAGACCGACAAGCCACCACCGCATCAATAACGACCCCAGCGGTGATTGCGAGAGCTGTTCATTACAGTGCGCATACGGTCCCACAGCAGCCACGTGCTATATATGCTGCACTCCTGGTGCCACCATCACGTTTATCTGCGAATGTCTCTGATGATGAATTCGAGTGAGAATCCGAAACGTCAGGCAAAAAAGTTTCTTGTTCCAGTGATCGCATCTTCATCTTTTGTACTGCTACCTGGAACTCGCCTGTTCTCTTCTATTAGCACTCAAAATTGTATAATAATTATTGCGCGATTTGTTGTTTGCTGGATACATTAGTTTTTATTTATGTATCGACTGTTTCCATAGAAATACGCATTGAATAATTAGAACTGTAGTAATTTCACCAACCGATTTATCTCTAGACCTACTAAAATTTCCTGGAGATGCCGTTGGAATCATTTTCCACGATGTCGCAAATTACCTCGTCCAGCAAGCGTTCCACCACAGTTGTTAGGGTATGTTACTGATTGGAAAAACGCGTATAGACTTCGAAATGAGAATCAATCAAACATCTTTACTTTTCGACTGCAAATTTTTCCGAGACGTACCTACTGCAAACTGCATGCAGGTTAGATACCTATTTTATCTTCTAACATTCATGGTTGATGCAATGCAGAATGCGAGAAATACATGAATAAAATATTCCAAACTCGCCGGAGATAATTTGCGCATGTTGCTTACCTGCTTTATTATATGCCACACAGCCTTTCTTAATATTAATGTGTCTTTTGAGTTAGCAGGCAAGTGGGAATGACTTTGATAACCACTGCAATACCTTTGGACATTTATCGGTTTGTCTTTTAGATCTAGTGTTAAAGGCAACTTTAGATTTTACCTACCTGGAGAAAGGAAACCACCTGCCGAACTTTATTCGACTATTCTCCCTCGAACTTTGCAGTGTATTGGCAAAGAATGCAACCTCCCCTAATACGTCCACCGCCTTTTTATTATTAAAACTCTTGAACATAAATGCATATATCAAAAAAGTTTCTTTGGATTTTCAACTACGAGACTGTCAGAAATGACTGGATGACTGATGAGGTACCAAAAGCAGCACAACGGACGATTTGGTAGTGAAGAAGAATGAACGCAGTTTTGATTTCAAGTTTTAATTGTCATTTACAATCGTGCTATTTAAATGTACTGCGTCTCTTCCTTTAGCGAGTTGAACAACTGAGGCGTATTACAAAAATATAATTCTTAATGCATAAATTGACAGTCGGTTTTAGCTAAAAGACGCCTGAAGCAAAAGCGATTAAACACTTTAAGGAACGACCAAAATTAAGTTTTCTCTGTAGTTTTTATGCGTCGTGAATTATTTCCATGATCAGGACGTCCGTTGGGGTTGTAGACGGTCATTTTACCTATTGTCCACTACTGCGATACTTGAGTAAACTTTCTCGCAAAGTTAAATTACTCTCAAATCGCAACGTCTGTTTAGTTGTAATTTGTTCGTAACACTATCTTCGTTTGTAGCCTGTTAACTTTTCTTTCGATTATGCAGCGCAGACCAGCTGTTAACGGTCATTTGTTCCTTAGGTTATAACTATAACGTTTAGCATCAGAAAGCATCTAGAGCGGTAAGTAATTTGGCTGTTTAAAAAAGACTAATTTTATGCCTCAGGCAGCGTTGGATTTAAGCAATACCATAATGGCATGGAGCACAAACGGCGTATGGGAGGGGTATATGACGTTTTTGGGGTGCACACAAAGAGCCTATGATCTTTTTGGTGACTGGCTTGTTTTTGGAGATGCAAGTATGCGCAATGTTTGATTTGACATAGCTCTAGATTTACCTATCCGTCAGGTCAGCAGGACTGAGTTCTTGCTACTTTGGAGCGGCGTCGTAACTTAGCACACATTATTGTCACCCGAAGCGAGCAAACAACCTTATACCTCTGTCGGGAGTTGACGATATGAGTTGTGGCGTGAAGCATTCGATGAAAGGAACATAACTCTTTTTAATCGGGAATTCTTAGGAAAGGGCTTTAAGGATAACATTTGAAAATGTGATTTGACAACGGATAAGTATAAGAGTGAATATTTTTTGCATCCGGTTGAAAAAACATTAACTTCATTTGAGTTGCGCACAAACATTCAATGAAGAAAAAATGCCTCTTAAATGTGTTGTTAATACGTCAGAAAGAAGTCAATGAAAATTTGAAGCTCCATGTAAATCAGATATCTAGAATTCTGCGTCTTATAAGAAACCTATTTAGGCAATTGTCTCTAGTAACATGCGTGCTTCAAAATTTTAGTGAAATTCTTTTGAAATTTGTCACGGACTATTTGGTGCAAAAACATGCACACAAAGGCAGATTGGCGGAATGGCAATGACATATCATTTTGACATCAGTGTACAGAAAGTGAGCTAACTCATGAAATGGCAACTGAAATTCTGAACTGCGTTTTTTTTCAAAATGACTAATTAAATAGTGTTGTAGAATTAGAAACCATTTAACATAAGACTATTTTAAATCAGCTACATCTGGATGCCGACATTTGAATGATCTTCCTTCCGAGTATATCAAAGATTATGCTCTGATTGGCATGCTTAATTGGCATGTATTTTTCCCATTAAGATTTGATACCTTTAAATATTTAATTACATTTCGTGGAAAACATGCATGAAGTCTTCATTTTTACTTTATAGAAACTTAGGTCTTCTTTTAATTTTATCCTCGGTGGTAAAAAAATAATCCGGTTTTCAAAACATATTTTAGTTCGCGAATAATTCTGAGCATGACCTGCCGTTATTCGTGCATTCAGGTTTTGCCAACAACAAGCTGTATATTTTCAGCATGCAGAAACCCATACATTTATCTAGGTTATTAAGAGCAAACTAAATAAGGGTCATACAATTCAGCAAAGGAGGTGCTTTCAGAAGCCTGCATCGTGAATCAGCTGATTTATTATAGAATTATGCCGGATGGTGACTAGTGTTGCGACCCTAATTGATTTTTCTTTTCAAAACCAAAACGCGTTTCTGAATTTCGGTCGACATTTCGTGGGTTGGCCCACCTACTGTACGATTTCGATCGTCCGACTTCATCAGATGTCAGCTTAAATTCTAAATTACTCCATTGGAGTTATTGCATTCGTCATCGTTTAACATACTTTCCAACATATATCAGGGGTGAATTCATCCGGACTCTTGGATTCACTTTATTCGCCTGCGACGATCTAAATCGTTGAAAAGTATTGCTTACGTTTTGGTCATTTTTGTCAAATTAATCTTGATCACTTAATTGTTTAAAGATATTTAGTGACTGTATACACCAAAATATTTTCCTTTTCCTTATTTAGTAGAAATTTATGTCTTCTATGAGCTATATGTAGTAACGTTCTCAAAACGCTTTTTTGTTTTAGCGTTATATGATCGTCTAGAAATTTAAGTCAAAAGGCCGTATTATTTTCATTGTAATACAATGCATGCATTTAAGTGCGTCATTAAGAAAGTATCCAAGAAATCTCCAAAACGTAATACTGACCCGAGTCGTGCTGTATGATTTACAGGACACATAAGTAACCATTCATGTAAGAGGCAGTTTAGTGATAATTAAAACATTTATTTCCTACTAAATAAACCAACGAAAATAGCTTTTATTTGATTGTCGGGTTAAAATGACGAGCAGATATTGTAAAAATGATTTTTTTCTTGGATTAGCACAAAAATCTGTAGTATGAACGTGTTTTCCATCTATAAATTTGCACAATATTAAATTAACTGTGTGAGCTAAAAGGATTCCAGATCCCACTATGACAGAAAAGAAATAATGATCAGTTAGAAAGCAAAACAAAGTCGGGATAATTTAAACTGCCGTGAATTTGGCAAAATGCATAAATTTTGGAGTCTGTTTTTAGTAGTGACTTTCAGTCCATGTAGTTTAATTAAATATTTTAAGATAGAATTGGGCCAATATATCGATGGTCATTTCGTACTGCTGGCGCAAAGTTACATTGCAAAATCAGGAACGATTCAAAATGGCAAGCGGTTTATCTGTATTGAGGAATTAAATTTGTGCATCAGGGAGCATTGGATATGGATAAAGTTACAGCGGCATGCAGGAAAACCGGTGCACGTCTGGATTACCTGGCATATCTTCAGATAAGTCAGAGAAGCCCAGGATCTTTTTAATGTCAAATGTGTATTTAGAGACGCAAACAAAAGTGACTTTATGAGTAGAGGTAGATGTAGTTCGGCCCGTCTGATAGAACGCAACAGTGTGCTATATTATGTTGGCTATTTCATGAAAGTTGGTAAAAGAATATGACAAGAAAATTTTTGACGTTCCCAACGTTCTGCATTTTGCTTTTCCGCTAAGTTACTTTAATAAATGTCCTTATTTTATGCAGAAATCCTGTCCGCGTTACG